GGTTATTAGGGATACCAGGCATGGTATCCCTAATTTTTGCCAGGGAAATGGGACAGAATCCAAACATGGCAGCTGATATATAGAGTGGGGAGTTTTGTTGCTTCTCTCCAATGGATAGGCTATTGTGGATGGAGAGATATGGGAAAACAATAAATGGGAGTTTTGTCTCTTGGACACAGATCCAAAAACCCACATTGGGGAAAAAATTATACCTAGTTACGCCTTCATAATTACTTGTATTTCTTTTTTTTATCTTTAAAATTCTCCTATGAGACGATAAAAGCTAGTTAGAGCCAAGAGGAATTTCGCACCTGGCCTACTTGTTGGAAAAGCATCTTGGATCCTAGCGATTTCCCATGTTTTGGGGACTTCTACTTGTGTACTGAGGCACTGAGTATCTCTCATGTAACCTTATGAACATCCATGCACATTAACAGCCAACCAGTCAGAGGTGTCCATAAAACACAATATCAAAATAATGACACATCACACAAAAATGTAACTTAAAACTGAATCATACCATCTGACCCAAATCACATCCTATGCCTCCTGATTCATGTGTCCTTTGCCACCTTGTTGTTAGCAGACATTAAGAAGCTGCTTTTTTCTGGGGCACAGGCTAACTGTAAATTAACAAACTCAAGTCAGTGATATTAATTAGTTAATTAGAACTTTCCCCGGCTGGCAATTGCTGCCTGAAACTGACCAGACCTTAATCAGTTTCACACCAAAGGCTTTTATTGTCCTATGCTGCATGGGTTGGAAAATGTTTTTTTTAAAATTATCGTCATATTTGCAAATAGAAATTATCTGAGGCAGTTGTTAAACAAGGACTACTTGTTTATCTTTATACCTGATCTTCTTGAGACCTTTGAGTCCATGGTATGAACGTTCAGTGTTGGAAAGCAACAACGGTAAGTTTCTAATAACTCCTGCCCATCTGCCTCAAGAATCCCTTTGGCTTCCTATCAAACCAGCTGTCTCAGGGTTCAAAACTACATGGACAGTTTACAAGTTAGCAATCCTACTCCCATATGGTCCATTTGATTTGGGCCCTCGATCATTTTTCAGTTCATCAGATCTTTCTAATTATGAATGGCTAGATCACTCATAAGGACTCTCTGACTCATGGCTAATTGGTGTATATGCCTGTCCAGTAGGTTAAACTACCATTTCTGTCAATGACTGTATGTGATGTTAATTGTTAAAAATAATAATTTAAAATAAATCTCTAGGCCCAGCCTCACAATGGAAGTGATACAAGGCAATTTGATTCCTCATATATCAGTGTCTCTTCTGCCCCCTACTGGCAGATGTCAGCACAGCACACTGCATGAATAAGGACACTGGAGCAGCCAAAGGCCGTTGCAGTATAGTACAGACAGGGCTTTTTTTTCTCATAGAACGCACAGAACGGAGTTCCGGCACCTTTTTTGGATGGAACCTTGTAGGGTAGGCAAGGCGGGTTGTATGATGTGTGTGAGTTCCGGCACCTTTAAAAAAGCACTGAGTACAGATATCCCTGACTTACAACAGTTCAAAGTTACAATGGCACTGAAAAAAGTGACGACCGTTTTTCACTTACAACAGGTGCAGCTCCTGCATAGTCACGTGACCAAAATTCAGACATTTGGCAACTGCCCCCTATTTATGATGGTTGTGGTATCCTGGGGTCACATGATCCCCTTTTGTGACCTTCTGACAAGCAAAGTCAATGGGGAATGCCAGATTCACTTAACAACTGTGTTACTAATTTAACAACAGTGGTGATTCACTTAACAGCTGTGGCAAGAAAGATCGTAAAATGGGGCAAAGTTCACTTCCTTCCTTCCTCCCTCTCTCCCTCTCTCCCTTTCTCCTCCCCTCTGAGAAAGAATTAAGAATCACAGGCAAATCTTTAATCTATCTTTTTTGAGGCAGAGTCACTACCCTCTGCTAATACAAGAAATACTGTAATGAGTATGAACAAGCAGATACGATGGTCTGGCTCAGATTTGGAAGGCATGTGCAAGTCACAGTGGTTTAAACTCGGTGGATGACAATCAGATCCCCACTAAAATGCTTCAAAACTTGCCTTATCTTGCCTCGGGAGGCATTAAATGTCCACTGAGAAATCTATTAAATTTCCCTGGGGGCCATTTCAACATTACAGCTTTAATGGAGGCATGTTACAGATCAGCGAAGCCACCACTTAAAATGGCAACGTTTCAAGTATCGATGCTGCTGACACATGCCAGGATGTGAATAGGGGCAGCGTTAATATAATTCAGAATGAAATGATCCTAACTAGGAGAATGCTTGCTTTCAATTTTTCTTTTGTTTTTTCCCACTGAAAATATGGTCTCCCGGTTTCTACAACCGAAGACTCAGATTCAGCGATAACAGCCATAAAAGCTTTGCAGGAGCTCAGCTGAACAGATCAACAAGTTTGCAATTTGGCAGCTTTCCAGGCTAGATAAGTTGCCCATTTTCCTTGTTGGGAGAGTCTCAAATTGGCAAATAAGAGCTGAGGCTGAAGGAAGAAAGCTCCCCCCCTTAAATGTTCCTCTCCTTTCTCCAAGGGAGACAATTCTGAGGGTCACACTGGGCCTACGGTGGCTATACCTCTAAAGACCCCCCTCCCCCCCAAAAAAACCAAATGCAGAATAGATTTGTCTGTTGGGCCAGAAAAGTAGAAAAGGCAGCAATTCATTGCAACAGACCAAGCCCAGGGCTTTATGCTACAGGTAGTCCTCGGCTTACAACCACAACAGCCCCCAATTTTTGTTGCTGAGTCTTTAAGTGAGTTTTATCCCATTTCAGTTGTTATGTGAATCACTGCACTTGTTAAGTTTCTAATGTGTTTGTAAAGTGAATCTGGCTTCCCCATTGATTTTGCTTGTCAGAAGGTTGCAAAAGGGGATCACATGACCCCCGGGGACACTGAAACTGTCATAAATGTGAGCCAGTTCCCAAGTGTCTGAATTTTGATCATGTAACTATGGGGATGCTGAGAGGATCGTGTGAAAAACGGACCCAAGTCCCTGTTACAGTGATGCTGTAACTTCGAACGGTCACTAAACAAATGGTTCTAAGCCGAGGACTATCTGTATTGAATGCTCCTCTGCTCCTTTCCCCCACTGGGCTTTGGGCCCTGAGTGTGGAGGAAGTCCACAGTAGTTTATTAGGACTGATCCCAGCCTGAAATCATGGCTTTCCCGGTCCCTGACAGACAGGAAGACAGACCGAGTGCAGGCATAAATGAGCCTTATCATTTCCTTTATTGTTATCAAGGAGCAAGGAAGGGAGGGAGAAAAGGTGCTACGTGGGGCGAAGCAGACAGTCCTTGGTATCAGCAAGAAAGAGAGGGTGAGCGTCTATCATGGTCAGACAAACGGTGGACAAGGGTCAGATTCAGAGGAGCGGAGGGCATCTGCAGATGGAGGGGGCAGGGGGCTGCCCTGTGGGTCATGCCAGTTGGGGGAAGGTGGGTCCCGTTCCCTCCACGGGCTGGTGTCTCTATTGCTCGGAACTTCAGTCATAGTTTGGAGAGAGGCTGGGAAGAATAGCAGGGCCACAACACGGAAGATCTCCCTCCCTTCTTCCCCAGACTACGGGATTTTGTTTCGTGCTGGGCATTCTTCTTCCGCTTGACCCAATGGGAATCGGCCAATGGCAAATGTCTTGTTTCTGCGTGTACAAGTGTGCCAGAGAAAGAAAGAACCCGACCCTTTGATTGTTCTTCCAAACACAAGTGCCCACGCTTCCACACACTCTACATAGCATAGGCCATCTCTCAAGAGGCACCAACTGGGGTGCACGCCAAGGGATTTACAAGCATCTGGAATTTTATGTGCTGTGGGGTGAGGCTGGCTTGGAGGTGGGGGTGGCTTAATTCCCAGGAAAAGAACAACCTGACCTCTTGGCTAATGTCCCGTTCAGTCGGGGAGAGGTGGGGACCCAACTCTGTAGAGATAGCAAAGGGAAGGCAAGGGAGGGGGAGAGGTCACATTACCATGGCAACGGCACAGATAACCCAAAGGATGGTCTACAGGCAGGAGATGCCAGCCACTCCCCCCAACCCCGAGGCTCTCGCTCTCTTAGCCAACATGCCATTTCCAGGCAAGCTGATGGGGGTCACGTTTTTCTTCGCTCAGAGGACAGAAAGTTCTGCTGATTGGGAAAACATGACCAAACAAGGGCTGGGTCTGTCTGCTACTGCTGCTCAGCGCAAGAGGAACTGGAGGACATGGAAAATGGGGCACAGTACTTGCTCTGCCAGTCTCTTATTGAGGTGCCGTGGTGAGGAGCCCAAGGGGAGCCCCGTTGCATGGAAGCGCAGTAAGGAGAGGGGCCAGCACGGGGGAGGGGGGAGAGGGGGGGTGCTGACAGGGAGGGACCTCGGGATATGTACATGGAGGTGCTGGCCAGCATTATTGCAGTAGGGACTCTTTCAGGAGGCCCCGTCTTCTGTCCCGCACACACATATACACCCCCCCTCCACTTCTCAGTGCAAGTGGACAATGGCTTGTATGAGTAAGGGGGGCAACAGCCCCCTTAGCTCTGGGATGAAGGAGATTGCTTGCTGATCAGTCCCTGAGGTACCAGAACTGCCTCCCTTGCCAACGCGCCACAGAGTCCTGGGGAGGCACTTCCACTCCCCAACCTTTCGTACCTCGGAAGATGAGACCGATACGCACATGCACGCACAGGCACACCCCAAGAAAGCACGCCCCCATCCAGCCCCCTGCAGGAGCCCAGCGCTTGTGCAGATTTGGCTGGGATCCCGAGAGGGTGGAGAGCAGGCGCACCGATATGTGGGGATGCAGAAGGGCGGGCTTCTCCCCTTTCTCTTCTCAGAAAAATAAATTCCATTTCCTGTCACAAAGAAAAAGGACGGGGAGGAAGAGTAAAATGCTCCCTTCAATGGGCCTGGGCGCCTTGTGAGATTGCCGGGACTGGTTGCTAGTTGCCGGGGGGAGGGTGGTGTGGTTCTGGTGGAGCCAGGAGTCCCGGGATTGTGGCAGGCAGGTGAGTGGATGGGCAGCATCAGTATGGTGAGAAGAGGATGGGTCCATGTGCAGTTCGGATGGGCCCCGGAGCCGGGCGCAAGAGTGGGTGTGTCAGAGGTGGGCCCTGCAGCAGGGATGGTGTTGGGGCTGGCCGCAGCGTCAGGGGTGTGGAAGCTGCTGCTGCTAAGGCAGCTGCTACAGCCAGGGGATTTGGTAGCAATCCAGCTGCCAGGGACTTGGGAAGCTCCTTGGAAAAGGCCAGGGAGCCCTGCGGAGACAAAGAGAGGAACAAAAAGAGAGGTTCAATTTGGTTGTCTGATTAAGCAGGTGCCAGCTATTCTGGCCTATTAAAAAAACAATACCACAGCCCATATTGGAAAACGCCCATAGGTACTCACTGGCAGCTCTGCCATGCCACGCTGCTTCTTGTGCCGACTCAACAAGGGATTAGGCTTCCCAGCAACTCCATCCCGGTGCCGCCGGCTGGAAATATGCTAGAAAACCAAAGAGGAAGAAAGAGATATCAAGCTAATTAGCAAGTAAAGAATCCTCATTCCCTGACCGGTTGAAGCCTCTTGCCATGCCAATCCCGCCATCTACAAAAGGCTGATGAACTATCAGTCATACCAGATAGATCAAACAGGAATCACAACAACCAGATAAACTAATTCTACTTTACTATAAAGCTACATTAGTAAAAATTTTGTGAAAGTTCAACTCTCTCGCCATTTCCTTTAGAGCCTGAGAATTTAAGAAGGGTCCCTTCTGAGCCTTTTGCTCCACCCACTATTCAACTGTGGGCTATGCTCCTCTTATCTGACTGTTACCTATGCAGCATCTGTTTGCCCATCGCACGAGGTCTTTCTCACATATCTTTACATGAACTCAGATTCCAAGATATTCATTAGAAATCCTTTTGGTAGTAAAATTTGTGGTTTCAAGGCTTCTGTGAGGATGCACTTATGAGAGAGGCCATGCACTGGAACACATGCACATCCTATTACGGACCCCTATCCCCAATAGCAGCCCATAGTCCCTATGCAGGACAAGCTCATGAGTGCAGGCATGACCTCAATCAGGTAATTCCAGGGCAATTTCAGCAGCTCCTCCCATCTTCCACACTGATCGAAGAGCAATTTAGGGCAATCTGCATTTAATAAGCAGGCCCTGGGCAAGTACATCATAGTATCCTATTCAATGACTGAAATCAAATCCTGATCTTGAGACTCAAACTTGGAAGCTACGAACTTTGACATGAAATCTCCCATCTTCTGAATCCCATACATGTGAGCGATGGCTACCATTACAGGCAATTCTCAACTTATTATTTAGTGACCATTTGAAGTTACAACAGCATGAAAAAAAATGACTTATGACCCTTTTCCAGACTTATGACCGTTGCAGCATCCCCATGGTCCCACGATCAGAATTTGGATGCTTAGCAATTGGCTCATATTTATCTGTCCCAGGGTCATGTGATCCCCTTTTGTGACCTTCAGACAAGCAAAGTCAATGGGGAAGCCAGATTCACTTAACAACTGTGTTCCTAATTTAAGAACAGCAGTGATTCACTTAACAACTATAGCAAGAAAGGTCGTAAAATAGGGCAAAACTCACTTAACAACTGTCTTGCTTAGCAATTGAAATTTTGGGCTCAATTGTGATTATAAGTCGAGGACTACCTGCATTTAGTAGGGAGACAAATATATTTTGTGTACGTATGGTCAGAGACATTGCCTCCTTTCACATGGTACTTTTTTTTAATCTGAGCCTTAACAAAAGTAAGAAAATACGTTTAGGGCTGAGGTTTTACTATAAAACATCCCTGTTGCATTCCACCAACTGTTCTTCCTTAGAAGGATGAAAGCCTCTTCTGGGAAGATGTACTGACAGGGTGTCATGACATGAGTTTCACACCTGTTTGAGCTGGATCTCAGAGTTAACTTTGACATTGCAGATTTCACAGTGGAAGGTTCTCTCCTGAGCACTGGGGTCTTGGTTGCCTGGTTCCCCTCCAGTTGTGGGACTAAGACGTGGATACGCTTTGATAGGCCCCAGTCCGCTGCGCGCTTCCAGGATAGTCTTGTGCTTTGTACCTAGGAGAGTTTAACGCAATACTGAAACTACAAAATGCTCAAGAGAAATGTCCACCAATCATTTCTTGCAGCACTTTCTCTTGTATGCTTTCTCCCAAGGGAAAGCTGTTTGCAAAATGGGTAGAGATAGTCTAGTCCTCTAAGAATATATTCTTTATCTGCAGTTCTTTTTTCTTTTTAATGTTAAGAGTTGCAGTTCTATAGTTACAGAAATTTGGTCTATAATTCAGTCTGTTTTGTTGACAAACTAAGGTTAGAAAGGACACAGAATAGACTTTTCTGCAGTGACTTTTTTATTTTATTTTATAGAACTGATTCTTTAAACTGGCAACATCAATCAGGTTCCCTTCCTGTAGTAACATCTACCTTCAGATAAAGGGCTTTTTTACATTGCAACTTTTTTGGCTATAAAGTCACCACATTTAATAAAAATTCTAAGGTTCCAATTTTATATTGTTACATGACAATTATATACATACATACATACATACATACATACATACATACATACATATGTTTGTGTGTGTATTGCTTTTACTTTATCAGACTGTCTCTGTGTATATACATATGCGCGCGCACATACACACGCACACACACATACATTTTTGCAGACCTATAAAAATAGTTTTCTTCCTATCTAATTGAGAGGTGCAAGGAGTATGGGAATGAAAAAAGTATTTCTGCCTTTGGCTGAGTTTTTAGCAAGAACTTCATTGGTACATATTAGTAAACAAAGCTTTTCTTAGCTTGAAGATAAACATCATCTTCTAATATCAGCACATTAACTTGTTGCTAATGATACATACATACAAACATGAAAGAATTTATAAGAAAAGAGAGAAAATGATTCTAGCTCTCTGTTTAAATACCTGCTGTCCTAATTCTGCAAAATCTCATTTTCTTCACAACTGGAAATCCTCTCAAAGAAAGTGAGGACTGTCTCTCAAACCATACTCCAATGGTTGCTTTTCCTACAGTTGTCTCAATGTTGGATTAGAGTTTAGGAAGGAGACAAGACCAAAATCTATTCCTGAATTGTGCCATTGTAGACTTTGAGTGTAGATTAATAATAGGGCATAGAACACAAATGCTAAACAGAATAATGTGATTATAATAGGGTGGAGACATTGACTGCAATGAGAAACTTTAAGAAAAACTTCAATATATTAAAATAGAATAGAAGGTTCTGTCAATAAAATAAAATAGAAGGTTAACATTACAATCTCTGAGGCTTATGTTTTACTAGTGCCTCGCTGCCTGGAATCATCTGTTTATTCAAGGTAGCAAACACACTTGGAATATCCAAACTGAAAGGCCAGAAAGTGCTTCCCGTAGAAAATGAAAGGAAAAACAACAAGAGTTAATTCAACCTTATTCTAATCAGAAGCAACAACAAACTCTGTGCCCTAGAAAAGGATCTTAAAGGATGTATATTTATCATATAAGACACAATATTTGCACTTTGATTCCATATACTAATTCAGAGTATAATTAAATAGCTCAGAACCTCTGTGATATTTTAAATAAATAGACTGAATGTACTGTATGTTCTACTAAATAAATAAAGCAAGGAGTAAAATATTACAAAGTATGCTTGCAATTCTGTCATTTATATGTATTTAATAAAATGAGATTACAATTCATAATAAAAGTCTGCTTTTGTAAATTTATAGAGAAAAAAATAAGGATTCTTGAAGGACATTAAACATTTTTCCTCTGTATGCTCTGTAAATCCGAATGAATCCCATTTTAAACTATTGCTTTCTAAAATATTGTACATCTGCAAAAGGATCATGACTTTAACAGAATAACATAGTTGGAAGGTCTTCTAGTCCCACCAAATGTTTAGGCAGGAAACCTTGTATCATTTCAGACAAATGGTTGTCCAATCTATTCTTAAAAACCTACAGAATTGGAGCAACTTCTGGAAACAAATTGTTCCCCTGATTAATTGTTCTGTCAGGAAATTTCTTCTTAGTTCTAAGTTGATTCTCTCCTTGATTAGTTTCCATCCGTTGCTTCTTGTCCTACCTTCAGATGCTTTGGAAAACCAGTTGAGTCCCCCCTCTTCTTTGGGGCAGCCCCTTAGATGTAAGGACTTTGGATGTAAGAATATTTTCCAAAGTTCACCTGCTTCTATTATGAGATTCATTGTTTATTTAAAATGGGGGGTTTTTTGGGGGGGGGAGTGGAGAAATCCAGATAAATATTGACATCCTTCAAATGCTATATTCTGTACCCAGAATATTGATTTCTGTGTTTATACAGTGTGCCCTATAGACACACAAGTCCCACCCCTCTATTCACCTGCTAAGTTTTACAAAGAGGGAACAGAGACACAGGTAATCCACTGCTCTACGGGCATCTTTTAAAAGCACTGTACTTTGCAGTAGAGAACCCCATTCTTGCACATAGAAAGTTTCACTTCTTATCCTTGATATTCCCATTTAAAAAGATCAGGCAGGAGGAAAAGATCTCTGCTATGTATCCCAGAGTTCTTGTCAATCACAGCAAAAGATTTAGGACTAACTAGTCTGAACTGGGGAAAAATAATTTCCTATGATTCTTCAGAACTGTATAATGCAGGGATGAGCAACTATGGCCCCTTTATGATCTGTGTAATTCAACTCCCAGAATTCCTGAGCCAGCCACGCTAGCACAGGTATTTTGGGAGTTGAAGTTCACAGGTCATAAAGAGGCCATAGTTGCCAACCCCTGGTATAATGTATTGATGAATGCTGTGAAGTCAGGAAGTCGCTGATTCAAATCTCACTATGAAATAGTTTATTCTTTCCTGCACACTCATTGCCTACCCTTAAACTGAAATTTGCTACCATAATTCTTGAGGCCGGGAGGAAGAAAGAGATGAGCTTCCAATCCACACTGAAGCATTTATAGCTGTTTCTTTTTTCTTCTCACACACACACACACACACACACACACGTTATTTAAAATGTTTATCTTAATTTGTACTATTGCGCTGAGTTAAGCGAAGGGCTCTGAATAATTTAAGAATGGATTTATTTATTCAATTTATATTGTTTAGGAGTACTAAACCTGGACTGCAGAAATCCAAATGGTTATTCACTGGCAGCAAAGATTGAAAGGAATGATATGATTATCTTAAAAGAATACTGTAGAGCCGCAGTAGGGTAGTAGTCCCCAAATATTATGACAAAAATGATATCTTAACCATGTTTAGTCCTCATTCTGTTGAGTACCTAGGATCATTGTTCACTCTTATTCTAATATTCTTTTCCCTTGTCACCAATTCTCAGTGAATTAGTTTTCCGATAAATGATTTGAAGCAACAGAATATTTTACAATGATAGTTTTAATAAAGTGAAGACATGGCTTTCTCCCAGCACATATTTCTTTGTACCCTCGATATGTACTAATAAGAGGCGCCATCAAGAGTTGTATACTGACCAAACAGGAAAGGCATCTCTGGACTTTTTTTTTTTTTTGCTTCCCGCCAATTCTGCTTGCAATCTGCAGTGGGAAGATGCCTCACTAATTATTCTTTAAGACCATTTCCTTTTCCTTAACCCATACCTGAAGACACCCAACTTCACGTATATCTGTTCCAATGTTTAAGTGATGCCTTTTTCTTTTCTCTAAACCAATGGCTCCCAACCTTTTCTGTATCCTGCACCCCTAGAACACTTCTGATATATTCTCGCACCCCTTACAAAAGTTCGAAATAACGAATTATGTACATATACACGATAATTTTGAAACTTCACCCCCTGGAATATCACCTGGCACCCCCAGGGGGTGGAAGAACCCCTGGTTGGGAATCCCTGCTATAAGCTACGAATCTGTGGTGCTTCAGTAGAGATTGTGGTTGCTGGGGCTGGGATCTGCCCAGTTCTCCTTGACTGTTTTGGGCTGTGGTGCAGATATTCCCTCCTTTTGATCAGAGTGTTTTGCTCCGTGGCCACTTTGATCTGGCACTGCCTTTGATGCAAAGGGCCATTCAGGCATTACATAGATCTATCTGTCCAGGTAAATAAATGCTCTGAGAGGTAGCCTGAACTAGCCATGAACTAGCACCTGTCAGCAGCCTCCAGGCAGCTGTTGTTAAACAGAGCAAGACAGTGTGTAAATGAGAGAGAGAGACACAGAGACAGAGAGAGACAGAGAGACAGAGAGAGACAGAGAGAGACACAGAGAGGGGTGAGCATACATGAAAGAAGAGCAAGAGGAAGAAAACAAAAATCGTGAGAGAGAAGTGCTAGCAATCAAGTAAGAAGCAGTGAGCATGGCAAACAGGAGGACAGACAAAGTCTAGAGTAGGCAGGCTGTGGAGCAGACTGGGTGATGCAGCAGGTGCTAAAAGGACAGATGGCAATGGAGGAAGCGATGGAGAAGGAGAGAAAGATGAAGGAGAGTGGAGCAAGAGAGACAGGAGAGTGAGAGCGAGCAAGCAGGCAAGTGCAGAACAATCAAGCAAGGAAAAGAGACAAGCGTGAGCAAAAGAGATGAAGAGAGTGAGAGATGTTGATGGAGGGAAGGGGTGACAGAGAAGGAGGGGTAGTGGAATAAGCAAAAGAAAGTAGAAAGATGAGCAAAGGAGGAGTGAGCAAGAGAAATGAATGAGAAAGGCAGAGCAAGTAGACTAGGTGAGTCAGCCAGAGAGATCATCAGCAGGTTGAATGGGGGTCTCTAGGACAAGCAAGAGAAGCAGAAAGCCCCTTCCCTCTGCAAATCAGAGTCTGATGGATGGCTAGACCCCTGAGCCTAAACCAATGTTTCTAACCTCAGCAACATTAAGAGGTGTGGACTTCAGTTCCCAGAATACCCCACCCTATACCTCTTAACAGTGCTGGGACTGAGAAACACTGGCCTAACTCACTTCCACCCCATTTTATATTAAGGAGTGTGATTGGTGGATGCTTTCCCATTGGCAGGAAATCCACCAATCTCCTTTCTTAGCTTGTCCCACAACAAATCTGTCAGGACAGGGATACCTGCTTGACTCATTCCTAAGCCAAAAC